CTTGAATACAAAATTGAAGTGTCCGAGCGCTTTTTAAAATCGACCTTGAAATACCCCAAAACTCCTGTTTCGGCGTTCATGAAACACCCTGTATAAAGCCTATCTTGAACAGGTCAATCGATTCGGGATTCTGACAGACCGTTCAAATAAGAGTACCTAAAAAAAATTTTAAGAGTGTTTTTTGAACGACTTTTGGGTTAGTTTGGGTTACCCAAAAAAAAATTGCCTCCGACGGGGTCCTATGATGGGCCTGCAGAGATTTTGGCACACAGGTCCGGAGCTGGGTTGATACGCCACTGACAATGCCAACTTACGATAAAAAATAAAGGATGAAGAGTTCAATAAAATAAATAAGAAACAGCATAATTTCATAATTTCTTGTTTTCGTTTTTCAAGAGCGGTAGGGGCGCCATACGTGTAGGGGCGGAGGGGAACTTCGCCCCCCTGCCCCCCTATTCGCTACGCCACTGCTTGAAAGGAATACAACTTATTTTGCTTTTAAGGCTGAGTTCAGCTTTGCACCCCACGGAGCGGAACGGTATGAACATGGATATCGTGACGGCGACGTCATACGCAGAGTGTGCCCTGAATAAGTTCATGCCGTCTAAGCCGAACACAGATCTAAAAAACTCCTCAAACCCCTTGCCAGTAACTAATGTCAAAAAGTTGATAAGTAATTTCTCTGGTTCTCCATCCATCCATCCATCCATCCATCCAAAAGAGAGCAAGCTCTGGGTCAGAGTACGTGCTCGAACAAAATCTTAACGTTTCGAGCGCACTCGGACTGCTCGGAGTTTACCGAATGTAAAGCCAGTGCATGTGCAGAAGCTAGTGTCTGGATAGAAATTAGCGAATTAGCTATCCAAGTGCTCCTAAATAGTCGAAGAAGAACAGTCATTCAGATTTTTTTCATTACTAGGAATAGGAATAGGTATTAGGGGCCTGCTGGCTTTATATTTACTTGGGGATGCATTTGCATAGCGAATCATGACAGTGGCTAATGTTGTATTGAATTTGGATGCTATTCAAGCAAGAGCACTTATTGCTTATTGAGCTGAAAGTGTATGCCATTTCAGCAGCAAGCCTCAACCCTTGGCGTAAAATGTATTAGCTGAGTTTAAAACAGTATACGTTAAAAAAAAACGAATTCCTAAACGTTATAATCTTGTTAAAATCACCTTTTCTACATTTAAAATCGACGATAAAACAAGCACTACCTGAATCGCAAGCATCCCATCCCATCGAGGCCTGCGGATGACGTCACCACTATAAGAGTTATGCTGCTAATAGTGATGACGTCACTCGCAGGCCTTGCCGACTCGAGAATTGGCGAACGTACGCCTTATGAGGATAAGCAATCCTATTAGTTTATGATTCTTGCTATTCAAGTGAAAAAAAAATTTGATCAGTTAATCATTAACTGAATAGAGATTTTTTCTCATTATTAGAAAATGGAAATTATTGGCTTCACGTTTACTTGGTGGTCAGAAGCTGAATTGTTTCTGGATAGGACTTAGGTGCTCTAAGTGCTCCTGAATAGTCGAAGAAAAACTTGAATAAGTTATCTATTATTTGAATTACAGATTTTTTTGCCTAGACCCTTTTTTCTTATCTCAAGATACAAAATAAATATAATGCGCAGTTATTGCATAGATTTGGCTGTGTTCGGACTGCAGTTTGCGTCCAAATTTCTCATTTTCGCCTAATAAAGGCATAAATAGTTTTTTTCCTAATTTAAGTAGTACCAAAGTTTACGTAGTACTACATATAGAACTTTCTACAACAGCTGAGAGTGGTGTAGCAGTTTCTACAAACTCTCCTCTTTTCGTCGTCCCCTCACACGTAGTGAGTAAAAGATATTTAATAATATTCCTTTTGATATCGCCTATACCGTCATACACATTGTGTTTTAAGTATTGTGTAATAGTGTGTAGTGCAAATTTAGTGTATTTACTTCAGTATTCTCAGTTGCGCTGAGATTAATATTAAAAACCGTTTAGGAAAATAAAGATTGTGTTTGAACTTAAAACAAACAATTTTCACGTGTTTTATTTTTTTTTCTAATACAGTAATACAGTCGTGTGTAAAACAGTCAGAACAATCCAAATTTTGCAGTTTGCACAATATGTGAAAAAGAGTATTCATCCAGTGGCAATACATCAAATTTGATGGACCATATAAAAAGAAATCACCCAGAAGGGATAACTGACAGCGAGGGAGGAACAGAAGATGAAAACTCAGACTCTCATTCAGTGAGCAAAAGACCAAAAATGAAGCAAACCTTTTTGTCACAAAAAACATTTATGTATGGAAATAATAGTGAGAAAAAAAAATTAATTGATCGAAAAGTAGCTATAATGATAGCAATTGACCTTCAACCATTTTCTTTTGTGGAAGATAAATGATTTTTGGACCTCATAAAGACATTAGACGCATCATACAAAATTCCTACCAAAAAAACTTTCCCTGAAAAAATTGTTCCTGAATTATATAACGAATTGTATGAAAAATTAATAGTTATTTATGTATCAAGGGAATTATGCAGGTGTTAATACCCCAGGGCAACGTTTGTGTCCCGAGGGCCTCCGGCCCGAGGGACACCAATTGCCCGTGGGTATTAACTCCTGATAATTCCCGTGGTACATAGATAATTTTATATCCTACTGAATTTACTGTATTCTGTCTATTTTTATAAAGGAATAAGCCATAAATCAAAATTTCTATTTTTTGTCAAAGTGTTACCTATTCAAGGTAAAAGCGGGAGTTATGGAAATCCTTAACTCCCTTGGGAGTTATGATATCCTTAACTCCCTTCCTTAACTCCCTTGGGAGTTATGAAAATCCTTAACTCCCTTGGGAGTTAAGACCCTGTTTATGATTATCGTAACCAAGGTATTATATGGTTTTAATAGTTCAGTAGGATATAAAAACTATTTTAAGTGATAAATATGTAAGTCTGACCACAGACATGTGGACATCCATGAATTCGGAATCGTATTGTACTATCACTGCTAATTTTATTGCTGATGGCTCATTACGATCATCAGTTTTAAAGACAACTGAACTTCCTGGTAGTCATACAGGCCAGCACATTAAAGAACATATTGAGGTAGGTTATTAAAATAAATAACTGCCCAACTATTCAAAATATATATTTTTTTATTTTAGGATGTACTGCAAGAGTTCAATATAAATAAACAAAATGTAGTATGCATTACAACAGATAATGGTGCAAATGTCAAAGCAGCAATACATTTACTTCAAATAAGGCAGCTACCATGTTTCGCACATTCTCTAAATTTATGTGTAAGAGATACAATCGCAGAAAACCAAGAATTCAACTCCTTGCTCACAAAATGTAGAGGTATCGTTACCTACTTCAAAAGAAGCAATATTGCAATGGATATGCTGAGAGTAGAACAAGACAAAGCAAACAAACCTCGTTTAAAGTTGCTGCGCGACGTGGATACCCGTTGGAATAGTATTTTAACCATGCTCCAGCGTTTAATTGAAATTAGTGATTCATTATTAAATACTCAGTGTAAACTATCAGGTGCTCCAGCTGTTCTTACTGTTGATGAGATCAAGATACTGGATGAGTTGGTCACTATTTTAAAACCTCTAGATGATGCGACAGTTCAATTATCACGTGGGTCAAATCTATTTTTTGTTTTTAATTTTTACTAATGCCCTATTTCTGATTTCTAATAGGTGATCTATACTGCACAGCTGCACTTATTGTTCCTGTTACAGTAGGCCTACATATAACAATTCAGAAGCAGTTGGTTCTCTCAAACATTGCCAGAAATGTTAAAGATTCACTATTAAAAAATACTTGTAAAAGATTGTTTGCATATGAACAACGACAATGTGTAAAAGATGCGACTATAATTGATCCAAGAATGAAAAAATCTGCTTTCCATTCAGCTGCTAATGGTCGAAATGCCAAAGAGCTTCTACAAGAAGAAATGATATTGCTTTTAAATAAATCAAAACATCAAACTACGACTTCTATTACTAATCCGAGCAATCCTTCTTCTAGCAGTCTGACTGTCTCTTAGCCTGGTTCTTCGGTTAGTTCACTCTCTATTATTGAAAAAAATGACGGTGGTGAGTTATTTTAAATAGGCAACATAATTAAAAAGGTATGCTTTTCATGTTTGTTTTATTTCTCCTAAGCTATCTAGTTAAAAAGCAGAATGCAATAACAACCAATACAGCTGAATCGATTATTCTTGTTAGGCAATATTTAGAGCAGCCCAATGCTGAACTAACTATAGATCCAATCAGCTATTGGATAGATATGAAAAATACAAATATGTCTCCCTTCCAAGAAATTGCTAAAAAATATTTATGCATTCCAGGTACTTCGGTACACTCTGAACGGGTATTTTCCAAAACAGGGAATTTATTAACCACAAAAAGGTCGAGAGTGAAATCCAAAAATGTCAATATGTTGATATTTCTCAGTGGAAACCAGTGGTTATTGCAATAGAATTGAATAGAATTTTGATTCAATAAACTAAAAAACATTTATTTTATTATTTTTTTATCGATAGTTATATCGATACATCGATAGTTTTTGTTCGTTACTGTCGATATATCGATAGTTTGATTCTTCGATAGTTTACCACCTCTAGGCAATGGTATTGTAACCCAATCCTACTGAAGGAGTGAGTTCACATCTCTGTCAAATAACTGTCAGTGAACATCTAATGACTGTCAATTTTTGTATTACAAGTCGCGTTCGGTATTTACATCTAGATCGATCTTTTTAATCTGAAGCGTTCGTTTATTAGCTCCGGAGGTAGCGGACGAAAATCTACATCGTTCGGTTATTCAATCGGATCAATCTGGACGACCTCCGTTTGCTCCAGCTTTTTAGACAGATGAAATAGATTAATCTGTACTTTTCATGGCATTTGAGGTTAGTTTTTGTTTGTGTTGACTGTTAATTTTAATTTTTGAGAAAGTGGTAATAATAAAAGCCAGCAGCCAGGATGAAAGAATTATCATTATTCGACAATGAAGAAAATCTAACTTACACTCTCGAAGTTTCTGATGATGAATTTGACAAAATTATTAATGAAAATGGTAAGTTTGGTATCTATTTTAGTATTTTGCCTTATTATTTATACAGTTGTTTTCGACATTAGATTTAGCTTTGGCGACCACACTTTTGGAGAAACATAAGGAGAAAACAAATCTATTAGCTGCTTTCAAGATAGTTTTGTCCAAAAACTCGCCTAACAATACTACGTGTCCTAATAAAGAGCTAGATCAGGCCGAGGATCAGGCTTCATCCTCACATGTGGTTGAAGATTTGAATGATGAAGTTTTTCACAATAATAATAATGATGTGGCTTCAACTGAAACTTTAAAAGGTACGAGTATATAGTTTTAGTGAAAGTATTGTAAAATTTACGACTTTTTTAGAAAGTAGACTGTGGACATTCGAGTCAACAAAATATTTAATACAGTTGTGTGAGAAATATGACGAGGACTTTCAAAGAGGAGTTAAAAGATTTGTCTGGAATAAGGTTTCTAGAGAACTTGAAGAAAAATTTAATCAAAAATATTCACCACAGCAATGTGATACAAAATTTAAAGGATTGAAAAACATGTACAAACAGGTAAAGAAGCATAATGAGCAGTCTGGAAAGAGCTTTAAAGCGTGGGAATATTTTAAACTAATGCATAAGCTGTTGTACTCGAAACCCGAGATAAACGCAATAGCTACATGTTCCAGCAAAAGTGGCCTGATTATAAATCGTACGCCACAAACTCCTACTTCTGATGAGATTGATGAAAGATTAGGTAGGTACTATTTTAGTAAATGTGCAAACGCATTCTGTTGTTGGAAACAATTAAAAGTTATTTAGCAGCCAAGTTTTTTTTTAGATACAGAGGAACCTATTCCATCAGGAAGCAAAACCACACCCACATATAAATCTTCCTTTATGCGTAAAAGAAAAAATATAGAAAACGCTGTCGAAAGAAGACATAAGGAGAAATTGGAAAGACAAGATAGATATTTGGCTATATTGGACAGGTTGGCAACAGCAGTTGAGAACAGTACATCAAATGACCCGAACAAGCAAACGTATGTAAATTATTATTTTTTTGTGTGAATTCCTAGGATGACGTTTATTATTTTATTTCAGTTAAACCATGTCTGGAAAAAGACCAAGAACTGACATACCTGACAATAATTATTTTTTTTTAGGTTTTAAGTTCCTGATGTTTATTTTAGTTCTTCTAGTTTATTAGATAGGTATGTATAGCAATGGATTCTGTTCCTTTTTCCTTTTGTTTCATAGGTAGTTTTGTGAAAGAAAAAAAAATGTTTTGTTAAATAACTTTCAATATATATGTAGTAAAGCTTTGCAGTTTATTATAAAATAAAGAGTATTAAACAAATTTATTTAACAAATCTTGTAGCTATTTATTTAATGAACCAAGACCTTGAAGTTACTATCCTTATTCCATTCTACCATTCTGCAACATTTGTAATCGGTTCATAATCCTTTGTCGTTTAGCATCAGCCAGCTGGTCCTGGTTCACATGATTATAAACATCGTCATGATTAATCACCCTTTCTTCGTTTCGTTCTTCTTGAATATTAACAATATCATCTGCCTCATCGCCATTTAATATACAGAGATTATGTAGGATACATGCAGATGTAATTAAAAGACAAATTAGGTCGTGTCTAACGATTTCCAAAAATTTTAATCTTCTGAAGCGACCCTTCAATAAGGCAAATGCATTTTCTATTTTCACCCTAACCTCAGAAATCCGTTGGTTAAAGTTTATTTGTCTTTGTGTTAAATTTCCTGTATTTTTGAAGCCAACCATGAGAAATTCTCTTAACTTATAGGCCAAATCACCAAGAAGGAAACTATCATTAGGAAATTGGGCTTCTCCTGCAACAATATCTCTGAATAAGTCAGACTTCTCTAACAGTCTATTGTCATGAATTGATCCACATTCCCCTGTGTAAACATGAGTAAATAGTTTCTGATTATCGCAAACACCTTGTAAAAGTACTGAATGGAAACCTTTTCTGTTATAATATGAGTTTGGATAATCACTGGGTGGTAATATGCGTATATGGCTACCATCAATACATCCTATTACACCTGCAAATTAAATAAATTTCAGCAAAGAGTCAACAAAAACTGTAGCGTAGGAGTGTACCTTCAAGTCCGTTAATTACTTGAAACCCCTCTGTAATAGTAATAGCTCGGTGTCTTGAGGGCCAACAAATAACTTTAAAGGCCCTATTTACATCCAAAATTTTAAAGCAAGTTCGGTACAAAACTGACCAGCATGTTGATTTACTAATCCCAAATCGATCAGCAACTGATCTAAAAATGCAAATATATTATTAATTACACAATTCTTAAACTCTTATTTTTACAACTTTACCTAAAACTCTCAGTATTTGACAAAAACCATAATGTTATTAAGGCCTGTTTCTCTAATGAAATTTCAGGGCGACCAGAACACACAGCTTTATTGGTTACAGAGTGTATTTTTATAAGCAAATCTTCAAAAGCTGATGCAGTAATTCGAAAGTGTCTTTTGAATTGTAAATCTCGCAAACGCGGAACAACTTCTTCCGCAAAGTTGTCAACTTTCTCAACAATATTTATTTTTGTGTCCTCCTCATCACCATCACTGTCTTCAAATATAATTTCATGCCCTTGAGCAACAGCAAATAATGCAGATGTTAATAATGTATCACCCATAATTATAAAGTACAATTTTAATTATCGAGGGATTCTTTCAAATAATTTTTACCAATATTAATAATAAAACTTGAACAGCTGATTTATGTAATGGTAAACAAGCAACAAAAATCCGGATCGTTCGTTTATTGCAGATTAAACGGTTAGCTCTGTGGCCACGTGACATAAATCTGCTCCGATCTGGGATCTAATTACCGAACTCGACTACAGAGACTTTAGGTCTGTTCCCACAGGAGTCTCTGACAATTTGCAACCTGTCAGAAACAATCGCTCAGCTGAAGTACAGATTAATCTTGGAACGACAGCATTAAAAACATGTATGGGCGATGCTTACTGACAGTTTGCAAACTGTCAAAGACTCCTGTGGGAACAGACCCTTTAACTACCAGTGTATGGAGAGCTTCTCTCTTTTCATTGTCATGACATTTTTTTTAAAGTTATAAGTCAATAAGTCAGATCATTAATAACAGTAATACTTTGTAAAATATAACAAAAGGACAGCAGTAATGCTAAAAAAACAAGATGACCAGACAAAAATGTTGAAAACATAATTAGATCAGCAGCAAGAAAATCAAAATCAATTTCTAAAATTATTTGGAGCCTTTGTAGAACAGCTAGTTGAAAAAATAAGAGAAGAAGACGTTCCTTTTCAGAAGATGAATAATGTTTAGTTTAAATCAGGAAGTATTTTGTTGTGTTTGTTGTTCATAAAGTGATTTATGTTATTTATTTATTTGTGTAATAAAAAAATAAATAAAATTAGGTAGGTACATAGGTACATGTACAGGGTCATCCAGAGAGGATTAAATTGAAGCTTTTATACCTGTAATATGGAGATCAAATATCAGGTTTTCTATGACAAATTAAGATCAATACTAAAAAAAAAAAAAACAATTCAACATAAGATAATTCTCAAGATTTTCATATTTTGTATTTATTTTAAATGAAATTCCATGTATTTTATCATATTTTTGGATCCTAAATAATATTTTTACTTCTCCGTAAAGAAGTCATCCAACATATCGTCGCCTTAGTAAGAAAAACGCGTAACTCCAATTTTGGCTCAAATTGGACTTATAAGCCTAGTTTACACCGACAACTTGGTACGCGGACCAAGCACCAAATTCGTACTATATCAGAACCAAATATTTAGTTCGAACGGTGTAAACGCTTGCGGACTAAGCTGGTCCGCTCTTGGTTCGGTACGCGCCAACAGAGGTACCGAACTAAATTTGGTCCGGATTTGGTTCGAGGTCAATCAGTGTAAACGCAACCGGAACAAATTTGACAGACAACTTGTCGAATTTATAAGGTTATGTTTCTGTTAGGTGTGATCAAGTGTGGTGTATTTGCGGTACATTTGTTATTTCTTTGTAAGGATTTACCTTGTTTGAAATTAATTTATTACGAAATACACAAGAAATGTCCGCGACCCAAAAAAAAGGGACCTAATTGGTCACAAGCTGAAATAAAAACGTTTCTTCAACTATGTATTGAAAAAAAAATCGTTCAATTAATGGACACAAAGAAGTTTAGGCATGTGGATATTTTTAAAATGTTGGTGAGAGGAATGAGTGACCAAGGTTTTGAGAAGACACCGGACCAAATGAAGCTAAAATTGAAAAAACTTAAACAAGAGTACATAAATTGTAAAAAAAAACAACAGCAAAAGTGGAGCAGCACCATCAACATGTCCATTCTATGAAGAACTAGATTTACTATTTAGTTTAAGGCCCAATTTAGCTGTTAATATGGACTGTACTGAAGGCATAGATACAGGGGACTACGAAATTGAACAGGAATGTACTGATATCTTTTATGGTAAGTAAAAGGTTTATTTCCTATTTCCTGATTAATAATAGTTCATAGTGCTTGAGTTCGTTTATTGCATCTGCGAGCAAAATGAGCAAATTTTGACGGTAAAATCACGCAATATCTGTCAAATTTTGCTCATTTTGCTCGCAGATGAAATAAACGAACTCAACCAGTATTAGTCAATAATAATCTATTTAATCAATTCTAGGTGAGCAAGCTGAGGATGGGACCGATTTTGATCCCAGTGAGGGCACCAGTAGAGATTCAAATTCAGAAACTCCTCATTCAGCCAAAAGATCGCGTTCCAATGTTCAAAGTGAGTGGGACATACCTATATAATATAATTTTATGTAATAATTATTATTGTATTATTTGAATGGAGAGAAAGCTATAAATAGTGTATAGTATTAGTCAATAATAATTTATTTAATCAATTCTAGGTGAGCAAGCTGAGGATGTGACCGATTTTGATCCTGGTGAGGGCACCAGTAGAGATTCAAATTCAGAAACTCCTCATTCAGCCAAAAGATCGCGTTCCCATGTTGAAGGTGAGTGGGACGTACCTACATATATAATATAATTTTATGTAATATCTAATTATTATTGTATTATTTGAAGGGAGAAAAAGCTATAAAGCTGCCTTAAATGAATATAGTGAAAAATTGCTTGAAAAGCAAGGAACCCTTATTAATAATACAATAACCAAGATGTTAGATTCACAGAAAGAAATGTTAGAAACAGCTTACCGTGAACAGAGACAATGGGAGTTAGAAATGTTAGAAAAAGAACAAGAATTCCAACGAAAACAGACTGAAACCATGATGCAGATGTTTACACAATGCATTCAGTCTTTGAGACCACCTACTGTGAGCAACCTTGGTCCTTTGAGATTGGTTAACGTATGTAGCTAATCAAGAGTAACAAAGTATTTTGTAAACATTTATTTTATTAATTTCAGCTAACGTCACAAAGGAACTTGAAAGATGCTGAAGTGGAAAAACAGAACAAGGAATTAAAATAAGAATTGGCATTATTTTTTCTATGTTATTGTTTTATTCTGAACAATAAACAGAGTTTTGTATAAATTGTATTTTACTTAATCAGCGTCTTAAAATTGATTGTCTTAGCGGGAAATTTCGGGCAAGATATTCCATAAGATGATCTCTTGTCTGTGAAGCAGTAGGTGCACTTCTCTCACGACTCAATTCCCCTTGTGGCTGTTGGTAGACTTTCTCAGTTTCCAACACAACCTCCATCCAATGCAGTAAAAAAACATCCCGGTTTTTCTCTGCCATATTATGGAGTGCACAGCAAGCAATAATAAGTTGAGGAGCGAATTTGTAGGAAACATCCATTCTTTTTAAAAGCATTCTCCACCTACCCTTTAATCTTCCAAAAGCCATTTCTATGGACACCCTTGCAGAGTCTAAATAAACATTGAAGGATTCCTGGGCTTCAGACACATTACCGGAATATGCTTTTAACAGCCAAGGCAATAATGGATATGCCGGATCCCCAATCAACATGAAAGGGATCTTGTATCCATCGACAATTGCGCTTCCCTAAAGTAAGTAATGTTTAGCTTGCAAGTATTAACTTAAAAAAATATTTTTTACCTGTGGAATCAACCTATCGGAATGCTGGTAGACTTTACTCTCTTTAAGTACCCGAGCATCGTGTGTGCTACCTGGATGCTTGCTAACAACATTTAGGAATCTGTAAAACAAAGCTTATAAATATAAAATGTATACCTATATTGTACCGGAAACCATACGACTTGCCTTCCATTATGATCAACTATGGCTTGAACATTATATGAGGCCCACCCTTTTGTGTTCACAAAATCTCTGTAGCCATCAGCAGGCGCCATAATTGGAACGTGAGTTCCATCTATACAACCAATTATTTGAGGTATATGTGACCTGTTTTTGAATTGTTGTGAAATATACTGGGCTTCTAACTCCTTTGGCATACGTATTTCATTTGGAACAATCACTTTATTGATCGCTGCAACTACTCTATACAAACATTTTTTAACAGTGGACTTATGGACACCAAATACATTGCCCACCACTCGATATTCGGCACAACTAGCCATTTTGTATAATGCAATGGCTACTTGCTTTTTAACAGATAATGGCACTCTAGGCTTCAAAGAGACTTCTTTTGGTTTTAATTCATTTTCCAATTTGTTACATATTTCTGAAAACGTTTTCTTTGATATTCGAAAATCTTCTATCCATTCAGCATCAGTGTATCTTCCCAGAACAATTTTGTTCCAGTGATCCTCACTTCTTTGTTTCATCCAAATTCGTTTATAGCGGATTCCATCCCCAACCAGTTGTTGATCTGTTCCATCAGTTAAAAAAAGATTAAAGATCACCATATTATTATGTAATTGTTGATTAAATTGGAGTTTTAATCTGTTACGAAGATCTTGCCTTGCCCTTTTAAACCTCTTGAATAACCTTTTCCTTCTATATTGATTATTTTCTTTTATAAAGATCAAAAGCTTGTAGAACAAAGGAATTAATTTATCCGTTAACATGTTCCAGCTGCAAAATATGTAATTCTATGAAATAAGGTAAATACTATAAAAGCAAGACTCAAGACTTACCAGTATTAAATTAGAATTATTTGGCAAAGAGTAAAAGAGTAAAGCATTTCCTGAATTTTCAATTCTGTTGTCTTTTTAATTATTTTCACTTTTTGTTTGTTATGTTATGAGGATAAGATTTTTTTGGTTATGTTGTTATATGAAATTTAATATTTGACATTTGACGAACTTGGCGCACACATTTTAGTTCGCGCCTTGCAAGACGGTGTAAACGGACTAGAACCAAGCATTGGTGCTACCGTACTATCCCCACCCACTTAGTCCTATCGGACCGTACTAAACTTTTATGGGTGTAAACTAGGCTATAATGCCATCTAATGGCGAAACATCAGACCTAACTGACTTAAAAATCCACGTAACTCAAAAAAATGATTTCCCGCCCAACAATGCTATCAAGCAAACCGCGTATGTATCTCCATTCGTCAAATTTAGGCTAAGAAATGCGCGTAACTCCCAGTTTATTTATGAGTTTCAATGGTGTGTGCAGGTGGTTGCAGAAATTGAAGCAGTGAGTAAAGAAATTAAGATACTTTTGCGCAAATAACTGCTAAATCCTTAAGGTAAGAGTGTTTGTATAGTATTTTCGAAAGTTTTATCAATCAATAATAAATATTTTAGCAATTTTGCGTCTTATTGGAAAGCTACGGACATACGCGGTTTTCCAAATTCACGTTGCTATTGTTATTGCGTACCTATGCGCTTTTTTATTTTAATATGATAGAAAAGATGCAGATAGCTTTTTTATATTCTAATATTTGATTTTACTTTAAGGATAATAAAAGTACTTTCTAGGATGTCATCCCGAACAAAACATATAATGGAGATGGTTAAGCAACAAGCAAGTACTTCCCGTGTGCAGATTGTGGAATACACAGTTGATGAAGACGGATTTTTGTCTTCCAATGATGCACGAATGTGTAGCAGTATGAATGATGGAAATCCTTACTCTCCATTACTGATAAGCACGGACTACATTGGTAAAATAGGCAAAGAGTTTAATAATCCCAGTATTTCGACCAGTTTTGACCATCACTCGGAATTTCCGATAGTTTTGAACATAAATGACGCTGATACAAGTAATAATGAAGGGGAAATCCTTTATTTCTTAGAACCGGAACAGCTAGATTTCGTCGATAATAATATTACGGCTATTTCACCTGAAAACAACGAATCTGATGATTCCTATGTTCCTGAAGAATGCGAGTCTGGGATGAGTTCAGACAATGAAGACAACAGCGAAGAAAGAAATTATAAACCACTATCCGATGAAGATAGAAATGAACCACTACCCGGCGATGATAGAAATGAACCAACCGATGACGGCTTAAATAATATAAAAACTCGAAAGAAGAGAAAACGTCCTGAAGATTGGCACTATAACACAAATAAATATAAACGTTTAAGAGGCCAACCGTATCAGGGCAAAAAGAAAATTGGAGAAAGTAATTGGAACTACAACATAAACAAATCAGGTACTACCTACCTAGGTTTAGGTATTCTAAAACTAATACATCATGCAAAATGTGAAAACAATTCAGGAATTTATATTAAATGTTATTTTCTCTTTTTCAGGTAAATTTCTGTCAAATCCGTGCAACTGCAGTAATAGTATATTACAATCCGAGACGGGAAATGCTTCATTACTGGTCGAGAGGTTTTATAGTTTATCGAGACGCGTAGCGTCGAGATAAACTGAACCTCGAGACAGCAATGAAGTTTCCCGTCGAGGGTTGTATACTATTTTATTTTTAACCATAATTTCTTGAAAAAAAAAATTCGGGGCAACCAAATGAGGTCGGCAAATGAAGAGGAAAATGAGAACGGGAAATATTTCCCTGCTCCATTTTCCGTCCGTGGACGGGAAATGAGAACGGAAAAAATTTCCCGTCCTCACTTCCCGTCCTGGGACAGGTAATGGAGCAGGAAAATAAAAAGACAGAAATGTGACATTTTCAAATTTTTGAAAAGTCAGTAATGACAACATTTCATATATGGTTAAAAATAATAGTATATTATATACCTAGGTAGAGAAGTTGGTCCTTATATACCGAGCGCTTTTATAAACCGAGGCGCTAGCGCCGAGGTTTATAATGAGTGAGGTATATAATGACTTTCTCTACCGAGGAATATATAGAATTTTTTTTACTACTGCTAGTAAAAAATGAAAAATTTGTTTAAAATCTGTGCTCCAATTATTTTTTTTTGAACGCCCTCTTTAAAGTGTTGCCCTCTATCAACAGCTTATGATAACTTCCTATGTACCTACAGAAACCTGTATTTTTTTTCAAATTGACCTATGAAAATGAAATTGAACCAATAGAAACATGACAATATCCTTGCGTCATGACGTCATTTTCATTATTAACCTAGCTATTTTTTCATTATTTTCATTATTCACCTAGGGAGAGAAATTCAATTTTTTCCTAGGAAAATATATTGAATAATGACAATTTCTCAGGTTAGTAGTAAAAAAAAAAGTTCCGCAATTCAGTGTCAAAAAATGACAGAAGAAAAACGCCTAAATATTTTCCAAACATTTTGGAACAAAATGACCTCGAATGAAAGGAAAATACAGATACGGGCTTTGGTTCAGTGTGAAAATGTTAAAAGAAGAAGAGGCGGTGAAGGAGCTGTATCAAGGAGGAAATATTCCATGAAATATTTTTTAAAAGTGGTCTTGGAAAGAATTCGAGTTTGCAAGCGTATGTTTGGAGGTACTCTGGGGTTAAAAGAAACAATGATATTGAGTTGGATAAAAGAATTTCAAAATGCTGATAAGGAAAATATTATCGGAGCTAGATCACACTTCGATATCAGCAAGAAAAGCGAAACAAGAAGGGCAAAATTTGCAGAAAAAAATGCAGCTGTTTACCAGTTTCTTCAATCGCTACCAAAAATGGAGAACATTATTGCAGGGCTTCCTCGGAAAAAATGTACCTTGAACCACTTTGGGGTTCACATGCCGAACTGTATAAGTGTTTCATAAAAAGATTTTGCGTCGAGCACCAATTGCAGACATCATCCATACATACGTTTATGAAGATATTTAAACAGCTGAAGTTGTCACTATACGCTCCAAAAGAAGACCTATGTGATGTGTCTGAGGCATATAATACGAAAAACTTATCTGAGGAAAAGTATAACATGCATCAAACTTTGAAACAAGAGGCGCGCCAAGAAAAGGAAAGGGACAAATCTAGTAGTGACATAACAGTTAACGTTTATGCAATGGATTTACAGAGCGTGTTGTTGAGTCCCAAATGAACAGTTTCTGCAATGTACTATAAGACCAAACTTATAGTACATAACTTTACTATTTACAATCTAAAAAACAAAGAAGGCTTTTGTTTCCTTTGGAACGAAAACGAAGGGGGCTTGACTGCCAATGAATTTTCCAGCATAATTAGCTTTTTTATTGAACAAGAAATAGAAAAGTGTGACGGTTCTTTATGTGAAATTATATTTTTCAGTGATGGTTGTACGGGCCAAAATCGTAACTCAAGATTGGCCGATGCGTTTGTAAATTTAGTTGCTCAGCACAATATAATTCTCACTCAGAAGTATTTATTCAAGGGTCACACTATTGAAAGACAGATCAGGGATCGCAAAATAAACCTTCCAGCTGACTATGCATATCATTGCCAAAAGGCAAGATCAAATCCATCTCCATAAGTCAAGTATATTTCTCACAGCTTTTTTAAAAAATTTGACAATCTAAAATTCTATAGTTCAATACGACCAGGTAGGGCCGCGGGCGACCCTGTTGTCACTGACATAAAGGCCCTGAGATATTTCCCGAATTGCGAAATTCAATTTAAAATGAGACATACTGATCCATGCCTTAAACCAACGATTGAATAAAAAGATTACTCCCTGCAAGTATGACGATCTACTTCCATTGTTTACAGAACGCAGGAAAATTAAAAAGAAGAAGTATGATCACCTACAAATTTTGAAATTAGGTCTATTAGAGGATTACCAGAAATTCTACGATGAACTGCCATTTGAATAAAAAAATCTGTGTTTTTTAAAATGACTTACCTTTTCTTTAGCATTTTTGATTTCGTTTACTGAATTAAATCTTGAGTTTTGTTTGAAATAAAATAAGTTTTGCCCGCTACATTTTTATTTCCGAAAAACGCGTAACTCCAACTTTTTTGTTATTTTTTTATGGGAAAAAAGCGTAACTCCTTTTTAAATCACAAATACTAAATTATGTTAAAATTTTAACCTTATGCAATAAATCTTATGTATCGACATATAATTATGCAAAATTAAAATATTTTATCACTAATATGAAAGTAAAAAACCAATTTTTATCGTCTGCTGTAAAATTTACCAAAATGAACTTACGCATTTTTCTTACTAAGGCGACGATATTTTCTTTTATTACATAAATACAATTCAAGTTGGACATAGGTCAAAATGGCAAAAACGCTAATTTTAAACTGTCTATATTTCCAAGAACAATACTTGGAGATAGGTATAGGACATAATAGACGAGTTGGAATAAAATACGTCGGATGCCTCGGAGGTACTCCAACCTGTTCGTTGTTCGTTTATTATTTTCGAGCACTCAGAGGTGCGTTCTTTTTTGACATCCGGAAGGGTTTAGATGCTCCTCGATTTGCTCGGAGCTTTTCGACCGATGATTCAGACAGATGAAAATATTTGACGTTTCATTCTCACAATTTACATTATTTCTCCGCCCGTAGCCGCTTCCCGCGACCAGTCAAGTTAGATGACACCAGTGGTAGTGGTTCCATCAAAACAGCACGTTTTGATGGAACCACTGAAATCCACACGCAATTGAAAAACTCCGAAAGTTAGATGTTGAAGTTCTTCTTTGGGTAATATTGGAAAATCGAGCTGATCTTCATTTGGAAGTTCCCATATATCATGCCTCCAAAGTAATCCTTCTCTTTCCAGTCTTTCCTGCAATATGTTGCGCTGTTGTGACTTCAATAACATTTCACGAGCCAAATTATCTGTCGCTTCTTCCATAACAATTGAGGGATGATATTCGTTTATTAAAGCAGATGCTATCCTGATGTAATCGCGAATGTGTGAAATACTGGTATTAGGAATTTAGTCTCTAAATATTTTGAATATTGATTTCAAGTGTCCATTTCGGGATTCAACTATCCACCTACAGTTTGTTATGAGCCGAGACTGATTTGCTTCAGCTGTTGTAAGCTGAGATCTTCGGCCAAGATGGGCGGGCATTTCAACTAGAATTCCAATGTCTTGTAAAAATTTCTGAGCATCTCTGTAACCACGATCTAGTACAAATATGTCTCTCTCGAAAAGTACGGCCCATGCACATCTTATGTAACCATCCGAGGAAACAATTAAAGTCGGCTTCAAGAGATGATATGATTTATGTACCGAAAATGATTTCCTAAGAACCTGAAAGTTTCTACTCTTTTGAATTTTCAAGTACGTTCCGTCAATATAAGCAATAGCTTTTGGTAGCTGAGGCTCCGGATTATATAGTTGATTAGCAAAAGGGGTCACATGTTCTCTAATGAATCGTTCGCGTGACATATGATCATATCCTAAGTTTTGAGTCACACAAAAGTTTAGTGAGCTTTGTCGTCACCGTCGGATGATACATAGTTTAAAAAATAGCATTGTGAAAAGTGCGAAATTGGGTTAAATACTACGCAGTATTATTCCAAAAGTGAAAGTGAAAATACGAAAAAAGACTTTAGATTCTGGGACATGCCCCAAAATCGACACAATGAAGAAAGCCCCGAAGCGGACAAAGATGCGAAAATTGGAAAATTGAAAAAAGGCTCGATGGAGCAAGAGAGGAAATCAACTAAGCTAATGATGAAATCAAAAAGCTACACAGCCAATTGAGAGAGCTGAACGAAAAGTTCTTTAAGTACGCAAAACAAGAAGGAAAAACCAAGGCGTCAACATACAAACGCCCTTCTGATGACGGTGAATGGCCAAAAATTAGCCAGCTAAGAAGGGCCCCAAGAAGAGAGCGCAGTCCATGCTCGGACAATGAAAATTCTGAACAAGAAATGGACACAGAGGTTATAAGTTACGCTGAAAAAGCGAAGCAATCCCGCCATTGGTCATCCATGGTAGTCATAATTAGATCCAAACCAGGGAAGTGCTCAAAGATAATGGCATAGCTTTCGAAAAACCGAAAAAAATGGGTGAAGACACAAAAATATTGTTGGGATCTCAAGATACCAGAATGTGTTCGTCGCAAGTAAAATCACTTTGTTACTAATTTAAAGATTTATTGATTAAAAATAAGATAGAGATTATACAATAAAATCTTAAGTTGAATTTTAACTACTAAAAGGTGTTGAATCGAGATTGACTTCAGAGTAGTGAATTAAATGTAGTCTCTAGAGTGAACGCTCGTAATTACAAAAAGGAGCAATTTATATTATTGTCGACCTGCGTCATTCAGAACGAA